GAGGGCGAAGGGGTGTGTGACGACGACGTCCACTATGTCATCCACGAGACTGACGCGGCGGTGGTAGGAGACGTGAGCGGCACTAAGCCCAAGGGTAAGTTCTTAAGTTTTCGCAGGCACGCCATTACTCGATTACTCATGTATTCTCATCATCTCATTGCGTACATCTCTCTCGTTCCTCAGGTCCAGACCCGAAACGACCGAAACTCATCAATGAAGATGATTCAAATGTTTGAATTTTTCTAAATATGCAATAAAAGATGATACACTAAGAAATAAATCCTGTTACGTGTGTTTATGAAGCCAAGTTACTGATCAACAATCTCCAACGTTGGCATCAGGTAACAAACACTCACGACAAAATAAAGACACTTAGTTCGGGTTCAATGGTGTTTTATTTATTTCATTTCACAGATCACACAACATGAGGACATTGTTACACAGCGATAGTAGGCAGTCTGCTGTATTTTATTTTTCTTTCGCATATTTGGTACGTGACATACACAACGTTAAGCAGCGTAAGCACTAAAGCCGCCGCCATCAAGACCGTGCTCCTGCGTCCGCACGGTTCATCGGTTAGCCCCTCGATCAGGTCGTACAGGGTGGTGTTGCGAGGGAGATTCGAGAACCATTCGGACATCTCAGCTCACTCACTCGTCGCCCAGCGTCAGCTTCTCGATGAGACTCAAGCACTTCTTCGCGGCCGCGCTCTTTGCGATCTTTTTAGCACTGCCGACTCCTAGGGGATGAGAAATACGAGTTAAAGACCATTCAGAGCCACAAAAAGTATGATTCGCTAAACTCGGTTCGACACTCACCCTGGGTGTGCACGCTCGCCACTACTTCGCATCGGTACGAGAACTGCCCGGGTGTAAACTCTTCTTCGCAGTAATAGGGTAGAGGCCACTTGCGCTTCTGACACAGTTCCTGATAAAGACCCGTTACGTGACATTAGTCTCATTTCAGGTTAAGTAGTACGTTTATTCGTGAAACTCAGCTCGGCTTACCTGTAATTCGCCAACATAATTGTCCAAGGAGTCCCGATCATCATCCTCGGGCCCGCCGTCTTGGACCCGGGACTCTTCGTCTAGCCGATGTGAATTTTTATCGAAGGGGTTCTCGCGAGGAGGTCTTGGTGGTGTCGGCGCATTGTCCCTTGGTGCGTTTAGTTCGAATAAATCTGGATTTTGCTGTAAGAGATTTAAAGCGGCCTGCGCTTTAGCCAAACGCTTTTTAGGACCGCTACCTTCGGCCTCATAGCGTACTTCATCGTTTCCCCGGACAAAAAGCTCAACTTTGTAATGAAACGTAGGACTGTGGCAGGGTCCGGTAGATCTTAATTCCACGAACTTCATCTCGTGTCTTTGTTTGTCTGAGCACTCTTTTAGCGTCGCCGTCCAGTTCACGCGCTCGAACAATGCCATCCTGAACGAACTGAACCGTTCTGGGGAAACCGCGCGACACTTTAACACAAATCGTATCCGACCGCTCCAATCTCCACCCATCTCCACCCAGTTCCCCGTTGTAGCTGTCTGGATGGCTCATTATTTTCTTTCAACCAAACGTAGACACAAAGACACAGCACCACAACACATCCACGTTATTGCTTTATTGTATTGGCAGGGTGAATAAATGATACACAATACAAAAAAAGTACACAGAATACACAGATCAATCACTGGTCCTCAAACTCTAGATGTACTCCACGGCCGCCGCTTCGTACAATTTGTCGAATCCTCGTCCGCCGTTCGCGGATTTGTCTCTCAGAAGCACCTTGAGCGTTTTAGATGAGCCGGACGATGAGAGATTGCAGTAGTAGACGCTGATCAGGTCAGATTCCTCCACCGGGTCGATCGCCAAGGTCTTGATCGCAGAAGTACCGATATCGTTGTCCTTTGTGGTCGGGTTGTCGGTTCGCTCCTTGACTCTCGCGCCCTCCTTGTTCAGAAATATCGGATAAGAGTCTATTTTACCCGTGGCGTTGTGCAGATCTTTGCTCCAGTACAGAAAGTCGTATTGAAGCCAGGTAGCCAATATCGCTTCGCACCGAACCTCGATCCGTTTCCCGAGCGAGACCGGGATGATCACGGTCTGGCTCAAGTCTCTGCTTATCGGGCGTATTATCTCGGAATAAGGCGGTATGATCTCCATGAGCATCTTCGAGCTCGCTCCGTCCAATACGTGACCCACCGGGAGCCCCGTGGCTTCGCTCCCTTCTTCGGTGATATAATAACGTCTCTTACATCCGACGAGAGAGGGGTTGCGCAGAAAGTCGGCTAAGATCACCCCTGGACTGATCACCGTCGGGTTTTCTCCCTGAAAACGAAAGGAGAGAGAAAATAAGAGAAGGCATAACATAACATTGAAGTTTGGCTCGAACGGCGGAGTCGTGCACTTGCCTTGATCTGAACACCTTCCCATTCCTCGCCCCACCACGATTCCTCCTTCGCGCGAACACCGGGCCATCCGACCAGATGATCTTTCACGTAGGAACACTTCAAGGCGCAAGGTCTGCCGTGTTGACAGTGCGCAATCTTCCCAGACGTCACGTTGGAAGGACCGTCGCTCACGATAACGTTCACCAAGACCGAAGCGCTCCGAGTCCCGCATCTGTACAGCTCAGGCCCCTGTACGTTCGCGAACACTAAGCGTCTCTTCCATTCGATTCCGCTTCGGTTTCCGCTGAGCGCAGTCCAAGTCACGGGTCCTCTAGCCTTCAAGGGGCACGCCAGAGCCGAGACCGTGTTCCTCTGTAACACCACGGTGCGGACTCGAACCCCGGTAGTAGCGTTCTGGGTCTCCAGTCCTGAGATCGACGAGATGATCATCAGGAGCGGGAGGACCGAGAGAGTCCGGGAGAAAACATCGGAATAGCTTTGAGTTGTCATGATGTTTATTCAGAAAAAGCCTTCGGTAGTCCTTATTTATACTCTCCTTACGCCGGGTTTGACCGAGTAAGCAGTCGGAGCCTGTTCTTGGCACGATCTACACGAAGCGATGGCGGGCGTGACTACTCGCAGCACCAGCACCAGACGCTCCTCTTCTCTGTTACGAAGCGTAACACAAAGAGGTCGCGGAAACGACGAGGAGGAACGGGAGCCATCGTGCGAAATCGGTTGTCCTCACGTGAATGTAATAGCGCGTATGAAGCGTGAAATCGTGGAACTTAAGAGAAACCTCGCGGAGGAAAGGCAACTGAAACTCTCCTCACGATCGGCGTCGAGCGCTTTCGAAGAAGGCGAAAGAGACGCGATTCAACGAGATCGAGATGACACGAGACGTGCATCAGCGCCCGGGCCGCCTGATTCGCCGGATAACGCTTCTTTGAGAGCGGAACTCGATCGCGCGGTCTACGACCTGGAGTTGTGCAAGCGAGACCTAGGGGACGCGCGAGGCGCTCTTCGCGAGGCGCTCGACGAGAGCCGCGCCCTCAGGGTTGAGCTCGAGCTCGCGAGCGCCGCGGCCTCTTCGACGAAGAAAGGAGAGCGGAGCGACGACGACGAAGTCGCCGATCATCATCCTCGTTTGGACTGGGTGGGGAGACATTACTTAGCCACGTCGCTGCCCGAGGATCTCATGTTCAAACCCGGACAGTCCGTGACTCCGGTCGGAGTGTTACAAAAGCTCTTTGAGATGAGGGTAGGCGGGAAGCAGGCTGTAGGTTTCAGCGTAATGCTTGAGAACGTGAACATTGCCTTGTCTCACATGGAACCCGAATGGTACGCTAAACACTTCGGTTTCAACAAACAATCTCAATTGCACAGAAACGGGTATAGATCTACCGTTCGGATAGAGACGGAGGACTTCGCGTGGTTGCTTTTCGAATACGGGGCGCAAGCACCGTTTGTGGAATTGCTGGCCGGACTCCTGGGCGTGCTGAGCAGCACCTACAAAGGCGGAGTCACGACCGTGGCGTTACAGCTGGGCAAGAGTTTGTACGCGACGAGCGTGACCCTGTTCAAGGAAACGGTGTCCAGAGCGTCCGAGGATTTCGCTCGAGTGCGCGATAGAGCGCGTAAAGTGCGCGAAACTCAGGGCGCTGTCTTTGTACCTGTCACGGAGGGTTTAGAAGAGAACACGTCGTCATCGTCGCGACATTGGGCTCAGGCTAAAAACACGGCGTTACGGTCCGTATTGGAAGGCATAGAAGTCCCGGTTCGCGCGAAAAGACCGGCCGAGTCAGCCGAGTCGTCGTCGCTCGACAGAGACAGAGACCCGTTTGGAATCGACCGGTCTCTGAACGCGTTCATCCAACGTCGACGTTTGGACGTGAACAGGCGAGGAGAGCATCAGAGTAAGAACCGCGGCGGCGCTTCCGACAACGCAGAAGAGATCCCAGCCCCACGAGAAATCGGATGGCCTCTCGTGAAGTGAACCGGGTGCGATTCGACCCCGATCCGCTCGGGCGCCCGTGACGAAGCCGTGTCTCGAGGAGAGACGGGCGATGACGGAAGACGAAGATGCCGACGGAGGAAAGGAAGAACAACAACAACAGGAGGAGGACGTGAGACGGAAAAAACCTCGGCTCGACGACGATCCGAAAACTCGTGCGATTCTCGCCATGTCTAGGTACTGTCAGGAGGAATGGGTGCGACGCATGGTTAGGCTGCACACGACTCGAGGCGATCGCGTGAAACTCGCCCTGCTCAGCGGAGACGCCGGCTGCGGAAAGTCTTACGCGATATCGTTGCTAGAGGCTAAACTGAGGGCTCTCAAGGTCAGCGTGGCGGTGAGCGCCATGACCAACAAGGCGGCTGGGACGTTGATGGAATCCGGTTCTCTGGCCAGGGTGTTCACGTTCCACAGGATGATGGGATTCAAGAAGCAACTGCTGGACGACGCGCTCTCCCCGGAGGACTTCATCGAACGCTACCGCGACACGTACGCGTATGTGATCGAGCGCTTCGAGGCGCTATGCGCTTCGGACGATTTCCTTCAACGTGCGAACGACAGGCATTCTTGCGAACGGCTGCGCCCCGGGTCCTGCGCGGTCTGCAGTGCGATCTTCGGACGCCTGAGAGG